GGGGGTTTGTCAAAAACCAAAAAAATAAACTTTACACTTCTGGAGAACTTTAACTAGATTTTGTATTGAAGTTCAAGTGACCAATTTTAGGGTTGACGAAATTTTCGACAGGTTACTTTTACAGGTTTACTTATCTCGAAACGTCCATTAATATTACAGTGCACCTGCCAAAAATGTAAATCACAAGTTACAGGAGGAGAATGAACATTTAAAATTGGTGAAATTGGAAGATTTTGCTCATTAAAAAAAGCACTGTGCAGTTATAGGATCATCCACTTTTGGACAGATACTTCCATAAATCATTTGGTGGCCAGTTCCTGTCAGATACACAAAATCAATAACCGAATCCATTTGTGGTAAGCTGGAAAATTAATTTCGGCCATGTCTATATGATAATATTTTTCTACAATACTATGAGCAAAGTCTTAGAGGAATTTACAAATTTTTGGTCAAAACTTACTTGTACTTATCTGGTACGGAATTCCAAGTAAATAATTTTCCATAAAAAATGTCCATATAATTAAAGTCATCTCGAAGATCTGAATCAACATTGTGCCTAAAACAGAAAAAATACATCATGATACGGGAAGGAGACAAAAACTAGAGCATACTGCGAGATACCTTGTGAGGTGGTCCATGATCAAATCAGAGTACTGTAGGTGCATGTTCTACAGCTTTTTCCGTTTCTGAGTAAGTCTTTTTCCTTCTAGAAAATGAAGTTCAACAATACTTTTCCTCCTTAGAACTGCAATTCTTAAAAAGTTTGGGAATAAATGTGGTCCTTAGAATTGTGGCATAGGCCAAACCTTAAAATGAGTTTTGTTACTCCTCCTGAGCAGTTACTTGATGAATTTACATGATTCAGCACTGCCATGCGTTTTTCATGCATGCCACTTTTCCAAGCATTTATCTTGATTACAAAATACTTGAGATACTCAGAGTATAAAATCGTGTGAAGAAGTTAAAAAGGCAAAATCAATCTATCTCTCCCTCCCCTCTCCAGATTTTTTACGTTTTAGGTATATTAGAGGAGTGTATGAGAGGAGGCATCTTTTCCCAAAATTTCAACCCCTGAAAAAAATCTGGTAAATGGAGGGGGTTCAAAGTTGAAAAACGCTTTGCCTCAAAATTTTTCAACAAATGAAGATGTTGACACGCGGTTTGAACATGTGAGTCCAAAATTGAGGGAAGAAACAATCTGACTTTTCCCAAGAATAGTAACGTAGCCATTGTGACTCATGTTATGACACAAGTCAAAAAGCCCACATTACTATTCTACTCAGGACAAGTCATGGATTTTAAAATTTTTCCATACCTGTAATCAGAAATATTGAGAAGTTTTTTGTTTTTTATGCAGTCTTCGATATAACTGACTTTGAACACGTCTTTGTATCCGTCTCCTGGGTACTGCCATTTGAGGCAATTGTCCTCTACAAGCACTACTTCATGGTTACCAATTTCTTTTCTTTTCTTTACAACACCCAGGCGATCCTGAAATGCATTCAATGATCAATACATTTAATACATTTGCTCGCCCTTGAAATACATTTAATTTAAGGAGTTGAAAAGCTTGAACTCCATTAAATTACTGCAGCTTAAAAGTGAAGCGTAATTCAGTACATATAATATCACAAAATATTTACTCTCTTTTTCTTTCTTAACTTGAAACAAGCTTAGATAGAGATTTGAAAAAACTTAAAACTTTTCGTGGGCTATAGCTGGATTAGCTAACAACAAATTGAATAAGTACAGCTGTAATAAATATTATGTGATACTTCAAATAGTCCTACTGAAGGAAAAGAGAAAGTGTGATTCTGGTTATTGTATCTTATAAACACAAAAATATATACATGGAAAGTGAAACTACCAGACGACGCATCTTGTTTTTGGTGTTTAAAAATCTCCACTCCCATTTCATTTTCATGAAGGAGAACTAAATAATATCATTCCTTGAATTTTGCACAGGTTTTCCTTCACACAGAGGAGAAAAATTTCAGAAGTTTTCAAGAATTGACGTTGAGTAGTTTTCTAATTAAAAAATAAAGTAAGTAGGATAGGAAGTCTGCAACGATGCAAACCAAGATACATGGTCTGGCAATTTTGCAATCGATAATTTTTTCATTTTTGTGCGATACGTAGTCATTTTTTTTAGTTGTCTGTATGTACCATCCTTTTGATCATCACAGTATTTATGTTATTTTTAACAACTCTGACTTTTAATACTTTTCTTTTCACTGCATTGATCAAAAATTGATTGATAAATTGAGTTCTCGAATTATTCTCTCAATCTCCACTGTTTGCTACCCGACATAGATGCAGAGATGGGTGGACAGGTAGCATGGAGCCAAGTTTGACAACTTAAAAAAAAGGCTTGTAATACACACATTTGAACAGCCATTGTTATGTCACCATTCAAGGTTTGTCAGAGACCTTGAAATTTTCATCAAGTCAACTGTCAACAATTTACTACATACTGCCCCTCATCGACTGCACTTCATGTCATAAGTCTCAAATATGCCAAGAATGGCATGCCCTAAATTAGGCATCTGAGGATTCCTCCAGTGTGATACATCTAAACAGAAGAGATTTTTGCCCTGAAAAACTGTAATTCAACATAATAGGGAATGGCACATTAGAGTCTTTTGACGATAAAATTTAGACCTTCGCACTTCAGGGGCGTTTGGATATGAGTTAAAATTTGTTTTTTTCAGAATACTTCAGAGTGGTATACTTATACCTCATACTTAGTACACTTTAAAAACCCAGCCAAGATCTTTAATAGTTACACACCTCTATCACTTTTTCAGTCTTCTTGATCTGTTCAAAGTCTTTCAGAAACAGAACAAAAGCTAATGATTCTCCGGTTTCATCAATAAAGATTACACCATCCTTTTCCCATGGGTCATCTTCAGTATTTTGGGCGGACGGTTCCATTCTTTGGCTGGAATCAGTTGGATTCTTGCAATGTTCTGCAATCAGAGGATAGATATTACATATTTTACCAAGAAAAAATTTCAATTAGAATATTGATTGATGCAGAAAATGTCTTCTTTCGTAATCCACACAAGATGGAAAACTTGGAGTATAGTGGACTATGAAGCAAAACCTTTCAAAAGAGGATGATCTCCCGAAAAGGGGATTGGATTCTCATAGTAAGTATAGTTCATAGAAAGTAAGAGAAAATCAGAATTTGTAGCAAACCTGAATAAACTTATCCGGCATTGACTCTACATTGTTTTTAATCTCTTCTTTTTCACCGGTGATCTTGAAAGCTCTAAAAATAGGATATATTATGGTTTTCAGGAGTTAATATAACAATCATTACATGGTGGAGACTTGAGGTCGACACTGTACCTGAATGAGAATTAGGATGAAAATGCAAACCTGAGTAAACGAGGAGAAACATCCAGAATGTTGGAAATCAATGTCAATGCAACGAATTAGTCGTAGTTAAGGTTTTCGTAGGGACCCACGTATTGCGGCACTGTCGAGCCGGCACAAGGATAGTGCCTTGATAGTCGGTGCGAAGTTTGCATCAACAAGGATTACGTTTGCGTACAGGAAATTTCCATCTTTCCATTTTATCGCCACGATATTTTATAGATATTTGGTGACCCATATCTCGTGAAGGGGATTTATATCTCATTGTCATGATAGATTTGCAATCACTGATATTTCGTGGGAATACATTTTTCTTTACTAGGTTGCCATAGTTAGAAATATGGAACGAAAAGAATAAATATATGCTTTTACTTTGTAAGGGAAGCCGTGTTGAAGTTGATGCAACAAAATTTTTTCTGTTGTTAAAGCAAGAATTTCCGGCTTTCACATTTTTGGCAGAAGACATGCATGAAATGATTCCAAAGATCCATGAAGTAAGTGCAACGAAAATTATGGATTTTGTGCAGGAACAATTAGGTCTAGATGTACCCTCAAATGAGAAAGTCTCGATCAAGATAATTGATGCAGTCTTACCAATCACCCCGATTAGAAGACTTCTGGGAAGACAAATTTAACAAAATTAATGCAGGAGAAACAGTGCCTGCTGTTCCAAAAGAAAAGCCCATAAGCAAAGTTGCTAAGTCCAAACTGGAGGTAGCATTCAAGAAGTTAGGACTTCCGTATGTGTATAGCTCAACAAAAGATGCGGCAAGGGCCCTTGTTGGAATTAAAGAAGGGAAAATTCCCCTACCGTCTGAGGAGACATTGGTTCAGCGCCGAGAATCGAGAAATGAAGTACGGAATGATCGGAATTACGAAGAGTCATGGCAAACATTAAACTTGGAAAAATTAGACAGTTTTGAAACCCCTTTAGAATTCGAACATCGGATGGCACCTATAGGCTTAATGCTGACCGGAACTCGGCAAAAGATAAATGAAACCCTGATTGCTTACTGATACATTGAAGTTGGTCTGCGGGACAAGTTACTGCGACAGTTGTTCAACAGTGGCTGCACTCGAGCCAGGAGGAAAAGGCGTAGACAATCAGAGCTTAGACTGAGTGATGAGCAACGATGTAAAAAATGTGTATATGAAGTACTTACACGAATGATAAAGTAAAGGAGAAAGGTACTTGGGCAGGTGATCACATATGATTGCAATTGTAAAAATTTAGACACATGTAGCTGCAGCACACCACAGGTTCATTGAAAATTTAATTAGCATTTAGTATAGTAAAAAGGGGAGCGAGTAGAAGTAAATAAATTGCAATATGTTTGACATTTGTTTTAACTTGGTTATTTCAACCTTTTTGAATTTGAACCGTTTGATACTACAGGAACAAGAACGCTTGCATTGCGCAAGATAAATTTAGGTAGGATAACCTCAATGTCTCCATTGTGCAAATAAAGAAAATAACACTAGATTGTCAAATTTACAACTTACGTTTATTATCAGCTACTAGCAAAGTAAGGAATATCAGTCATCAGGCAACATTGCTTGGGATAGACAAAAGAAAACAAAAACAATCTGGGATTCTTGAAATCATATTAAGAGTAAGGATTGTGCTTTCTTTCTGCAATTTCTTCTTTCATTTTATGTGTTCTAAACCGTCACTTTCTTCGTCATTTTTCACATTTTATCAGTTCTACTTTTCATAATTCAGTTTAAGCAATAAAGGAATGTACTACTTATAGTGTCTGTATCGAAGCAGTTTGTCCTGGTCAAGCCAGACGTCTGTTTTCTCTCTAATATAACATGAATTCCTTTTTCATTTTAAGGTGAACCAATGTTCTGAGATTATTGAAGTCGCGCTTTACGTTACTTAACTCGGGACTCTCAGCCTAACCACTGACCACTGAAGGTATGTAAAAGCTTAGCATTCAGAGACCTTGATCTCGACTCCTAGGCAGCCTCGGTTCATCCGACAAAAGCATTGATAATATTATATTGAGACATCATGCCTTCAAAAGTGTTTCATAGCTTTGTGCAACGGGATTGCAGAGTTTTTTTGCAGAAAATTTGCATCTAATATAATACTCTCTTGAGCGAAGCGCCACTGAGATGAATGACGTGAGAAAATGTTTCGCAATACTAGTTTGGACCCTACATTCTTTGTTTCGAAATTACTCCCCATTTTCAAAATATTTCATCACTAAGATCATTTTATAGGTTTGATACTTTTTATCATCAACATAATGTGCAAACACTTTGATTAAATAATGTGCTGAAAAATTGACGAAAAGACAGGACAGTAAAATTAAGCATCACACTACATGTCTTTTTAACCAAATTTCACATAAAATCTAGCAATCACATTGAAACTTATCAAATTCTATTCATAGAGGAGAAGTTATCATTTTACATTCATGGTGATTCAGATTTCCCTCTAGGACAAAGATTTGAGTCAAAGCTGTCCCTGAATTATTATTTTGTCATATCTTTCAATAAGATAAGTTTTATAAGTTCATAGTTTTTTAAAAGTAAGAGAAACGTAGCTTTACAAATTTCACCAGTTATGTATCGGTTAAACGTAGTCTTACTTAAACCAAAGAAAGCCATTTCCTGGAGTTAGTGTTGGTTCAAAACAATTTATCTTTTTAACAGGTCACATTATCCGTTTGGTGGTGAAAACAGCCTCCCTGATTTACAAACCCAGTACAGATGTCATGATACATTAAGAAGATTGCCATGCATCATGGCTCAAACTAGAAGGCTTCCTGTGTACGGGGTCTATCCACCTTGTAACCATGCAACGCGAATGGAAGACTATCTGGTGCGAGTACGAAGTGAGCGTGCTGAGAGAGCCCGCAAACCAGATAAACCAGATGACTTCATTTGTTACTCAGATACAGAAGATGATGAGGATTTGCTAGTGAATAAGTCTAAGTTTAATACTTCGTTTAATTTTGTTGATTATATTGTGAGCCGACAAACTGGTCTCAGGGATTTTCGTTGCTTCAAATCAAATTTTGCCTCCGAGTATATCTCAACACATGAGATGTTTAAAGAATGGACAATCCCTCTCACACCGATGAACAAAGTGTTTAGCTCTCAATGGCTCAGTGACAGACAAATAGCATTTGGGACCAAATGTTACAAGGTTTGTTTAATGTTATTTTTCTAACATTTTAAAATGATCATTCATTTCAATACTAAATCAATAAACCATAAAAAAGGTGTGAATGTAAACATTCTGATCCACTTTATTCAGAGATGGAGGAGTTGAATACCTAGAGTAAACTCACAAGTAAACATGCATCATAGTTATGCTATTTCACATTGAAACACTTGTATTCCAGCAGATTTGAGTCTACAAATTTTGTCCAATATTTTTATTAAATATTCAAAAATGAAGGATATCCTCGTGCTTATTATAGCCTAACATTTCCAGTTATAAAACAAAAATGAAAAATGCTCAAAGAATAATTATTTGAAAAAAGAACTTTTTTAAGGTCTGTCAAAAAAGTACTTGACTCGAGTTTGATGGTCTTGGATGAAGGTCTTCTTCGAACTGTCTTTAACAGAGGGTCACTGGGGTATGGGGTAATAAGGTGTAAAATGTGATTTTGGGGAATAGGGGCAAAAGTGCTGGATTAGCTAGTGGCATATTTGAAATAAGGGGGAAGAAAGCATCTCTACCCACCAAGAATGGCATTAGAATTTTACTACTAACGCAGTGTAAGGAACAGCTCTGATATTTGCTTCTTGCGCTGTCAATTATTGTTGCTGCTTAAAAGCTCCCATTGAAAAGGTGGAACCTCCTCTCCCCCCCCCCTTCAAAAAAATAAACACTAGTAAAAAAATCTACAATATTTTTCCTGTTGTTTCCTGATCAGTTTTTTTCTTTTCTGCTTCTGTCCTTTCAGCTAATGGTGTATGACGTAGTGACCCAAAAACTTGACCAAATCCCTCTACTAGAAGGTCGGAGAGAGTTTCGTTCAGATTCAATGGAGGACCAGGGTATTCACACTCTAGAAATAAACCCCTCCAGAACCCTCCTGACAACCATTGGAAACAGCGCGAATGAGGTAGCAGTTTATAAGCTCCCCACCCTGGAGCCTGTCTGCATTGGCGAGGTATATTCATGGTCCATTCTATTCATCCATCAGCATGTAAAATCTACACACAAACCTCTGTAGTAGTTTTTCTCTAAGAAAAATCTTGGCTCTGTTAAAGAGGAAACAAAGTGAATGAGAGAAATATCCTGTTTGCCAAGAAGAAACTATCTCTGTGTGATAACTTGGGCAAAGGTTTTGCTGAGCACAAAAGGTAGTGACATAAGAAAATGAAAAGTCACATGATTGAAATGAAGGTTCTTACAGAAACCTGTGAGCCTAGGGAGTGAAATTAGGCCAATATTATAGGCAATCACAAATCTCGTTTGCGGTGTCTGAAAATCTCTGCTTCTATGTTATTTTTTTAAAGGAGAACAAACTGTCATAATTCATTCAAGTTTTTGCAGAATTTTTTTTGCACAGAGAAGAAAAATCATGGCAGTTTCAAAGAATTGCCGTTGAGTAGTTTTCCGTTTAAAAAATAAAGTATGACAAGAATGAGTATGTCTTATTACTGACAATGTTTTGAGTTTAATGATACATTTTTGTTTTGTTTTTTATAATCTATTTGTAGAAAGGACATGATGATATGATTTTTGATATGGTTTGGTTGGACGATGAATTTCTCGTCAGCGGTGGAAAAGACACAAAAATGGCTCTTTGGCGTGTTCCACAATTTAAAAGATTCTGCCCAACAACAACACACTACATGGAACCGTTGGTAGTGAAGACTGTCAAAAATGCAGACAGGGTCAGGTCCTTAGTTTTCAATCGCTCGCTCAATGAAATTGTCGCTCTTACATTGAACGGTTTTATTCATGTTTGGAAAACAGAGGAATTCAGACAGGTTCGTATTTTGAATACTCGATCTACAATGTACATTTTTAACTATCTGTCCAGGCTCCAAGTAACCTTTATTTGCATAATTTAGGTATCAATTGATAGTAAAATAGAAGCAACAAAAAGCAGTAATGCAAACCAAGAATAAAAGGTCTATGTTCCATATAAAGAAATTTTTGGCTTCATACTTTTCAACCTCCAAGTGAAAGCCAAGGATGCTTTTGTCTTGGATCAAATATTAGAGTTAAACATTTGTTGTAAGGCTGGCTCAACCCTCTTCATTCATTATCTCTATTCATATTAGCTGAGGAAGTAATAGTCTTATAATGGGCCTGTTGCAAACTTTTGCTAGAGCAAAACTAAGAGTTGTTTCTTACAGATAATGCCTCAAAAATCACGATGAGCGCATCGGCAAAGTCTGGAATGCACTCATAATTTCACAATCTGCGCAAGAAATTTGCGGTTTTTTTAGCTTACCGCTTCGAAAACGATACCACGGTACAGGTGAACATTTTGTTAGAGGAGTCATTCCATTGGCGGCAATACTCATCATGGCCGACGCCAGTCCGCCAAAACATGTGTGATGGGACGAGATAACACCTGAACAGGATTAAACCAGATAACAATCGGCGTGTTTACGTTTATATTCTCCTCACCCGCCTTAATTGACCTTGAACTCTCCTCGAATTACTCGCGGAACTGCGCAAGCGTCGGCCATGGTGAATATGGCCGACGATGGAGGGACTCATCTAACAAAATGTTCACCTGTGTGGTAGTATCGTTTTTGAAGCGGGAAGCTCAAAATAACGCAAATTTCTACGCAGATTGTGAATTTATGAGTGCATTTCAGACTTTGCCGATGCGCTCATCGTGATTTTTGAGGCATTATCTATAGGAAACAACTCTTCATTCTGCTCTAGCAAAACTTTGCAACAGGCCCATTGTTACTGTTACAAAAAGACTTAAAATTTAAATTTTAGGTTTTTTTTTTTTTTTTTTTGTGAGGTTTTATTCCTTTCAAAATTCAGTGACATATTCTTTAATATTCTAGAAAATAACTAGGAAGTTACAATCTAGTCAAGAGAATGCTTGTATGGCCATGCATGGTAGCGGAACGGTGTATGCAATCGGCAGTAAGTCCTATACTGCATTGTTGGATTCTCGGACCATCCAACCTATCCGAAAGATAGTGTCAAAAAATAATGGATACGGTAGGTTTCAAAATCATTTTATCTTAATATTTTATTCAACTTTTTTTTTCCATTTTTGCCAAGCTTTGATTCTAAAATATAAGTTTTTTCTATCCTAAAAGGAAAACTAAATGTATTGTATCGCTAAAATATTTCTGTCATCCATGACTCACTCAGTCTCTCAATGACCAGAATTAGTTCGAAAGATTTGATGATATTGATCGCTTGGATCCAAAATGGTCAGTAATAATAGTTAGATGTAATTGTTTCAGTTGATTTCTTCTTCTCATTTTATAATATAGGACTATTCAAGTTCTTGAAAATTTAGTAAATTTTCATCAACCATGATAAGTGAAAATTCAAGGAATAATACCATTCAAACTTCAATTTTTTTGTCTTAATTAAGATTTTAAGTACCTTGAACGGCACCCATGTGCTCCATGTGCGCATTTAAACTTTTGTAGTGCCCGTTTCAGATAACTTTTCCGTTTTCGCTTTTTCCTTTCTTTTTCCTTTTCTTAGACTGCAAAAAAGAAAAATGTATCTGAAATGGGCTCTATCAGATGCAGGTTATCAGGAGAATTCTCATCCTTTACATCCTTACAAAGTTAGGCATAAATGATTTTATTAAAGCTCAGCCCCCCTCCCCCCCCACCTCAAGCACATTTTCTCTGCTCAAAGGGTCAACTGAGATAATGGTCATAATAATTCAAGAATTTTTCAGCTGTTGAAACTTACAGAGTTATTTTTGTACATTGTAGGTATCAGATCGCTCAGTTTCCAAGGTGACATGCTTACAATTGGCACCGGCTTAGGAACAATATTGTTCTATGATTGGAGAGCGGGTAGATATATAGTATCCAAAGTTAATTCTAGTCGAACGATCTCTCTCAAAACAAGCCGTGGATTTGTGGTAAGTTAATTATACATTAATTATTTCATAAATATCCCTTCTTTACTGGGTAGGAAACTTTTTAATGCGAAAAAATCAGCTCAACTTCTAAGGCCCTCAGAAATAGAACTTTGGCGCTATCTCTGCTGGGCAAATCCTTCAATCAATGGTTATCACTAAAAGTGACTGTTCAAAGAAATAGCAGTATGTATTTGTTAAGATTTTATGCTTTATTCTCTGAAATTTTAGATTTACAGCTTTGAATTGTGGCTAACATCCTCATCAATGATTCCAATCAGTTGGAAAAGCTCTCCATTTTTACAATGATCTGACATTTGTACTCTCTAATGGACATTTCTTTCGACATTGTGCAAACCACATCTTTTGCTCCAAACTTGTTTCAGCAATTCGCAGACAATGATTTTGTGGACCATGGATTTCAGCAAAATCTGAAGTATCTTCCTGCAATTTATACGCACTGCTACGATTTGTCCGGCGTGCGTCTGTTTGCTGCTGGCGGTCCACTCGATTCGAATACCAGTGGCCACTATGCAGGATTGTGGCAGTGAGGTATTTTCATTATCCTAACTTTTATTTGTTTGACTTTTTTTTCTCAAAATCAGGAATACTTTACCCTATATAATTAACCACCTACTTTTGATGCTCAGCAGCAGATTTTGAATATTCATGTGCACAACAATCGCAAGAAGAGCATGATCCCAGAACCCCATTTTTTATGCCCCTCCCTGGAAAATGTGAAATGTACTGTAAAAATTCAATAGGTTTATATCTAGAGCTGTGCGATTAATGAAATGTTAATTGTAATTGCGATTAACTTTTTCAATCATAATTGTAATCAAATTGAAAAATTAATTGTGATTGACTCCATGAAAGTTTGAATTTGAAATTTTGTTTGTTTAAATTTGCGTCACTAGCATACTTAAAGCCTCTAATAAAAATATTGAAGAGAAAGCACCAGCTTTTGCAGTCTTATGAGCAATTCTTCAAGAATTCATACAATTTAACTTCGTTTTTGGTCACAAAAACCAAAAAAATAAAGATTACAAAAATTTGATCATTTATCACTTTTTCCCCAATTTTAATGCAAATCGCGATTGTAACCATGATTAATTTCGTCAATTGTAATCAAATTAAAAAATCTTTAATCCCTCAGCTCTATTTATATCTAATTGAATTCTATTTTTGATTTGGTATAAGGACAGTTTTTAAACTTCAAAGATCAAAAAGTTAAAAAGAAAAAAAATTCACATAAAGAAAGTATGGATCCTTTATTGCCCGTTATGATTTAGTTTGCTACAAAAGAGGAGCAATTATATGTTTTTGATGAAAAATTTAGTTTTGAATTTGTGAAGTGCAGGAGTTGCCATAACTCCTCGTAACTTTTACTACATTCTTCCTAATTATATACCAAGTGGAAAAATAGATGACTTAATTCGAAACTCTCCTTGGTCTTCAAATAATTCAACTTAACAGGGTTTTAATGAATCCTAAAAAAATTTGTTCAGTATCTCAAGCCCGATTGTTTTCACATTGATAAATTATCAGTAAGTAAGTGAAAAAAATTTTATCGTTCAATAATCCATGTTGCAGTGATGGTTTGGTCTCATTTACCTATTTATCAATAATGCTCATTTTGTGACGTTGCTGTCACAACAAAAAGTAATCAACCGGGCACAGAGCATTACTTGATGTGCTGCATCAAGTCGCATGATGGGCTTTTCCATTCAAAGTGCCATGAAAATTTAGACCCATCGTTTTTCCCCGTCAAAGAAATGGTCAATAATTTGTTGTATTTATAACTTAAAATTGTCTGTAAATCTGCCTACAATTAGTTGTTCACTATCCTGTTCACTCTTGTAAATTTTATCTGGCTGTGTGACCTGCTCTGTGGACTTATGCCTAGTTCTACCACCTCTTGTTAAATTTAACCTCCTGAGGAAGCCAAACTTCCAATGCTTTTTCTTCGGATTTTAGGGTTTACTGTAAATTTTATGGTCCGACTGAAATTTTAGACCCTAGTAAGATTGCAAAATTCTAATCTCTGGATCTAATCTTAGCAAATACTTAAAATTTCTGGCCCATTTAACCTAGCAGCTGTTAAATTATATTAAGGTGATTCGATGGACGCCATATTTTGTGTCAGAACAGCATGCGATATATCGCATCAATTGGTTCCATTTTTTCAGTTACTCGTTATTTTTCTCCAAATTTGAGATCGCAATTCTGTTGTCAGGAGACTAAAGCACTCATTTACCAATTTTAACACAGAAATTCAACGTAATAAAGGTGTGGTTTTTTCAGAGAGAAAATATCGCATTCGAGTGCAGTTTCGATATCAGTATCGAATGCGATGTTTTCTCTCTGAAAAAACCACGCCTTTATTACGTTGAATTTCTTTGTTAAAATTGGTAAGTGAGTGCTTTAGTCTCCTGACAACAGAATTGCGATTTCAAAATTGGAGAAAAATGACGAGTAGCTGAAAAAATGGAACCAATTGATGCAATACATCGCATGCCGTTCTGACACAAAACATGGCGTTCATCGAATCACCTTAAGAGGTGATGGAATCAGGGCACTGCATTCTTTTGTCATGTTGTTTTCAGCAAACTGAGCTCATTAAAGCCTCAAAAAATGCATGCATGATCTCATACGAGATGCTGTTTCACCTCATCCCCTAGTCAGTCTCTCGGTTAAAATGTTTTTCTCCATAAGATTGCTTGTCTTATTGTTTCCTCTCTGAGGTTCATGAAAGCTAAAGTTTTTAAAATGTTCATGTATATACCTTGATTTTCGCACATTTCTTTACTTTGGAACCTATGAGGAACCTTATTATTGTTGCTTTATTTGAAATTTTAATTTATTTCATGAAAATTTTAGCGTAGGACTTGCAAAAGAACATGTTTATGTGTATTCCTTCGAATGGTTTCTGAGATACTTCTTTTGTGTTGTAAAAATTGTATGGCAAAATATGTTCTTTCCTAGTGCGGGAAGGAAGGTGTGATTTTTCTTAACTAGATGTTAATACAAGTTCAAAAATTTGATTCAGATTAATTTTTTTTTGAGTGAGAGGTTTTTTTTTCTTTTTGGGGGAGGGGGGAGGGGGGCTAGTGTCTCCCATGGAGGCGAATTTTCGTATTGTTTAAAAATTAATAACTAAGGCAATTTTATTTACTTTCTTGTCATATGTATGAGTGGCTCAACACATTTTTGAATAGAATCATTGTAAACAAAGCATGCTTGTAATTATCTTTCACAGCACAGTTTTTAACTCAGAAAAAACTAAGATATAGTTACTTAATAGCACGAGATTTTACAACATGCTCAGGAAGTGCTTAGGTGGTACCTACTTTACAAAAACATGTCATGAACTTGATTTGTCAGCAAGTGATTCAGGCTAAATTGTTGCATTACCATTTCCTGCTAAGCGCAACATTTGATCAGTGTGAAGCAGATGTTTTTTAAATATGATAGTTGCCTCCAATAAAAATTAGTTTAAGTTGATTGATAATTGAATCTTGATTTGCCACCCATAAGAGGGTCTAATCAGGACAAAATCATCATTGTACCACATCTATTTTTACGAGGCATGCTGTGCTAGAAGTAGATGAAGCTTGTTTTTCGATGAAGTATGCCAGAGTGTGGTTTAATCATTTTAAAAGTATCTGCACAGCACCTGCAATTTTTTTGCTGAAATGTCATTTAGGAGGTCTACTTATTGACTAAAAAATAACAAACCTCTAAATTGGTTTTGTGGCCATGTTTTTATAAGGTTACTTTTCACTTTTTTGGTAAGTATTAGGGGATAAGATGCTAAAATAGTGATTTAGGTACCTTGTAAACCTTGTACCTTGTAGGTGATTTGTAACCTGTAAATGTATGCCCAATACATATTAATGGATTCAAATGCCTGCTTGCTACTACTTCTCACACCCTTTTATTATAATTTTGAAAGATCTCAAGGATTTTTCGGGAGGGATTTACATGCCACACTTACAACCGGCACCACCTTTTCAGCATATCACCCTGAATTATTCTCCTCACAAAAAGGAAATATTGCCTCAACAATGACCACACAATCAATTAAGGGTTTTTTTGGTCCTCAGTCAGTAGGCTTTCTAAGTCACAGTCCAGCAAGAAAATTGCGGATGGTTATGAAGAGGCTATTTTGTAAAATGTTTGAACCACACTCCGGCCCATCAACCTCAAAAAAAAAAAGAAAAAATCAGATAAAATTAAGGAATAAAATTTATTCTTAGAGAACCTGCGGTAGAGAATTCAATTAATCACAGCAACTTTTGTCACAGCATTTCATTTGTTTACAACTTAAATGTTGATTGTAAAAAGTATAAATTTGCATAATTATGCCCCCTTCAGATATCTTTGTGACAGTCCTTGGTTTTTGAAAAACTTAGCTCCATATTTGAGACGTTGGTTGCAGAAAGGGCATTTATTGGTTGTGATATTTCCAGAGTCTCCACTCTTAATTTATATATTAGAGAGGAAACTATTGGGTGAATTTTCTGACATGTTTCGTTTTCCGTATTGTAAAATCATAAAGAGAATTCAGTAAAAAATTCAATAAATTCCATACATTTGCTATAATTATAAAGGGATGAAACGTTAGGAAAGATTCTAAGACACCGCAACCAGGAAATGCCCTTTTTGCACCCAGCGCTTCATTTATGGCAAAGTATCTATAAACTTGCATCTTGGTGAATTTTGAAGTTTTCATCTTCTCGCAACACTTCATTTCAGGAGAATGAAATCAGTAATCAACATTTTATTTCCAAATTCATAACCCGATAAACCCAGGATTTATTATTGATGCATTTAATATGCATAATGTGCATTTTTGTACAGTTTTCTGATTTAGGTTCGATGTCAAATAAGTAATTAAATCTTGTCCTATGTTATCCGATGTATATAATTGTTTACAACAGCTAGATTTTTTCCTCACTTGTATATCCCTCCTCGCTGAGTGCAGATTTAAATTGGGAGACGCACATAATCCTACCAGCATGTTAATATCCTGGCAGTCAAGATTCTCATGCAACAGAGAATATTTCTGAAATAGGTTTCCAAGTAGACGAAAGTAGATTGATCAGGATTTTTTCTTTTTGCACTACATGAAAATGTAGCAAGGTCAGTTCAAAAGTTCTCAATGAATTCAGTCTTTATCCATTTTTTTATTAAAAAAACAAAATCTATCGTAACCTGGAATTCCGTTGTTGCTTGTTTTTAACAATCCCAATTACCTTCCTATTCTAAAGCAGGTAAAAAAAGCACGAGTTTGAACTCCCACTTTAGAGAATGTGCTTCAGATGGTACATCGAATCCAAGGTTGAAATTATGTTCTTTTTATGGTATAAAATTGTAATATATGTGACATTTGATGCATCTATTGATTGAATATCTAATAAATCTCTGCCAATGTAACAAGCATGCTCCTTTTAAAGCTTAATGAGTTTGTCTGATGTAAGGTTGTTGAGCCAATTCGGTCATGTCTTTTAGACTTGTGATACAAAAAAAAATTTGTATATTTCCCCCTTTTTTAATATGTGATGGTTGACTTAAACCCAACGCCAAATATCTTTTCAATGCCCCTTTAAAATTGATTGCTTGGATTTGAGAAATAGTTGTTATGAATTTAAGTTTCTTTCTCTCTTTATTGTTTACTTATTAATTATGTAAAAGATCATAAATTATTTTAATTTGTATTTCGAGTACAAACTTATGTTACGATTTTTAATTTTAAGTATTACATGAGCATTAAAGTTTAAAATTTCATACATATTACTCTCGTTGTTGTGTGTATCTTTTGATTGCCTCACCACAATCTACAAATGATGAGTATGAGCCTTGAGATTAGTCTCTTCTGTTTGGAAAAAGGTTCAATTGAATCATCTTATACAAGAGTGTTCCATAATCTAAACTTTGATATTTTTGAAAAACACTGCTAAATGGACTGTCAGACTGAGTAAGCACAAATTAAAGCATGCTAATATACATTCCCTTCTTAAAAATTCACGTAGAATCCCATTCAGGCAACAAAAATTACTGACATTAACTTCTAATGGAGATATTTTACATTTTTTTATGCATGCATTTAAACCTCTCGCTCATGAAAAAACATAACTTCATGCAAGTCAAATTGCCCATCAAACGTTGTCATATTAATCTCTGTAGCATGAAAATATGATAGCCTCAATGTAGGCACTTCAGCTCAGTTGTTGCATGTTGTTAACACTTCAAACAACACAGGGTAGGGAGAAAACACTGCTTGATTAAGAAGCTCGCCACAACCATTGTAGTGTGCGATTCGCCTCATGCAGAGTATTGTTTTTCTTGTGAGCAGGCAAATCGAATTTCCCAAAATCAATGTGAACTAAAAACGTGAGTACGTTATTTAGAAGTTAATTTAAGCAATCTTTGTTACCTGAATCTTAGTCTGGGTGAAATTATCATTAGGTAACATTTATCATAAAACTTTAATTTGTGTGTTTTTACCTTATGGAGTGGTCCATTGCTCATGGCTTTGAAATATGAGTGGCCGCGCTAATGAGTGTAAAGAAGTAGTTTTTTTTCAAAATAAAATAATAGCAAAATATGTGGTTAATTGTTACTTTCTAGACTGAGCAAAAGAGATTAAAGAACATCACTGCACACTCAACATCACCTGAATCATCATAACATCTTTTGGACTAAAAAGTTGAGCCATTTATAATCACTGCCATCAAAATACCTGTTATGTACCTGGTTTTTCCATAAAGGACCCCACACACCTCTTATGGGAAAGTGCACCATGACGGATCCTTAATTTTTTTTATGCCATTCGATTCTCCTCAAGATGCTGATCAAAAGATATCATTGCGTCAACTCTCTACGATGCACCGTTTTCGCAAAAAAAAACAAAAAAAAAAAAAACGAAAAGATTCAATTATTTGGCGACAATGAATCAAAAAGAACAAAGCATTTGATTTAGAGACATGAGGAAAAGGTGAATAGATCGGGAGAGTGAGAAACTGATTTGGAAGGTCCAGCAAAACGGCATGCGGAATCCGAGATAGGATTACCGCTCGGTGCTGGGATTCTCCTGATTTCCTTGTTGACACACTGCCAACCGTTCACTCGAGAGCTGAAATGAGGAATCTTTCTGGCTCTTCATTGCCAAATAATGAATCTTCTCGGCCGTTTTTCGCGAAAACGGTACATCGTAGAAAGTTGGCGCAATGATAACTTTTGATCAGTATCTTGAGGAGAATCGAATGTCATAAAAAAATTAAGGATCTGCCAGGGTGCACTTTCCCATTAGAGGTGTGCGGGGTCCTTTTCTACCAGAAGGGATATGCCTAGAAACCACACCAGAAATTGAAGGAAAAAATTATTTTAAAATGGCCCTCTTAAATCCAGATTCTATTGGAATTTGAGTGTTTTGGATTCACAAAAATGGTTTTTAAACATAAAACTGGTTATGCACCAGGAGGCTTAAAAAATTATAAAAGAGAGGGGAGGGGGAGAGAGAGAGAGTTAGCGTGAATAAATAAAATTATACTTTATTTCTGACCTATAAAAATGTGCCTAATTACAAAAATAAAGTTTAATTATGACAGTTTGCCAACATCTTATCAATAGAACCGCAATAGATTCGGTGGAATAAACACGGTATAAAGAGTCTACTGCTTCCGCCAGTCGCAATATAATCATTCCTAAAAAGAGACAAAGACCGACGAGTGCTGGTCAGAACGTAGCTCTCCATAGATGCCACTGTTAAGGGGTGGACCAATACCATAAATAATCAAGCATCAAGATACTGAGCTAAAAGGATGATTAAATTCTTTGATCTTCTCACAAAAAACAGAGTAATAGCATCTAGAGGGCATTTCACCTATCTTAACATGTTGATCAAAAATTTGAGTCAAAATTATTATCAGTAAATAGACACAGTTTGATTTGACAAAATAAGTGCAATATGTAATTGAAATTCAAATAATCACTATTTTAATCTGAGGTTTCTGTACAAGGTTTTTTGGGAAGATAGCCAAAGCACATTTCTGGATACGATCATTCTGCTTTTCGCTATACTTAAAGAATGGCACCAGTATTTTAACGACATTTTGTAAATACTTATGGTATTTGTTTACTCCCTGTGTTATGGAACAGCTATAAATATGGTCTCTCATTTTAGACTATTCTCACCTTGCCAATTCCATCAGATAAATAGATGACCGACAGAGTGTAGAATACTTAGACGTGCATACATAGAGGGTATACAAGATAACTTGGTCAAAAAAAAAAAACACAACTTTAACACATGAGTGAATGAAGCAAATTTGAATGAATCACAATTAAAAATGACTGATACATGAAAATAAAATGAGAACTGAGCCTCCTCATGAATACGACAAATTTTTTTAACATAAATTTTATACAGTTTGTTATCCGACTCTTGGATTTCTTGCAATATTCTGAGATGCTCATAAAACTATTCCTTCATTGTGACCTTTCAAAACCAGAAAAAATACATTATTGCTTGGGGGCAACATTTTGTCTTTTTCGTAAATGATCAAAGATTATTAAGTACCTAATATCAATTCTGTTAGTACTTTGCGGCAATGCAATAAATTGAAAACAGGAAAACCTGTAAAGGGAACTGGTGAAATCAATACTTTGAGAGATATTTTTCCCAAGCAGTACCATTGGAGGCTGTTGGGAGAACCCATCCAATTGGAATCAATGAAGAAATTTGGCTATGTGCCACTGCAGTGCTGTTATGAGGAATGGAAAATTTATCCCACTGACTCCTGCAAAACAAAAATACATAAATCAATAAAAAAAAATACAGTGAGGTTCAAATTTCACCCTGAAATATCATGGATTTTAAAATTAATAGTGTTAAATAAGTTGCGACTCTAAAAGACGTTATCATGTCTACAACACATCCGTTGACCGAGACCGTCCGACTATTCTGTTCCGTTCCGACCGTTCACTGCCATGATAGCAAAGACAGCAGTAAGTGTCGAATTTTCGAAATTGAGTTTCCTTCAAAATTAATCTAATCTCTTTTAGATGAAATCACTAGGATAGCTGAAACAGCAAAATTCATCTTAATTGTACCAAGATGAGACATGTGAGCAAGCCATAACTGTGCAAAAAATGACATAATTTCAGGCAAGACAATAGTAAGTGACAATATTCCTCCAGAGAGCTAATGAAAACAGTGCTTTCAAGTAAAGTGCCATCCTCAGAAAAATACAATTCTAGAAATAGGCAAGAATAATGATTTTCCAGAACGAACCCAATTGAAGTTAGATTCAAAAATAAAGAGAGAGAACAACCTTGGAGGTATTATAAGCACATTCACATTTATTGATTGAGTAAGTCCGAAAAATTAAGCCATTACCTATCCTTGGTATGCCTCAATTTTCAAAGAATCTGAAAAGTGCAATATCAGTCTCAGTTTCAACAATCTGTTAATTTTGACCAAATAAGCAATTTGATAACCCCTATAGGATAACAAGCTAGCGAAAGACTTAGAGAAAGGTGATATTTATAAGATTAAGGGCAAAAACAGCTTTGGGTTTTATGTAAGGAAAACAAATTGTACCCTACAACTAGGGTACCCAGACACATGAGAAATATCAAGATAGGACAGTGCATTTTTGGAAGAAAAAACATGACGAGGGGCTCACCTTTTAACTACTCAAAGAGACAAACTATGAAAAAGGACTAACATGTAGCAGAGAATTTTACACACACAAAAAGAGGAACATTACTTTTAATCAAGGGATCCACCTGCCCAATACATTATTCAGAGCACTTGACAATAACGCTAACATAATGGAGAACATCCAAGATACTGAACCGGTTAAATGGACCTAATGATAGCTCCAGGGCAGAGACATGCCACTGAAACATTTATTTTTTTAGAAAAAGAGTTCGAGGTTTTGTTTTTATTTAATTTTACAAAATTTTTTTACAGTTTTGCATTTGTCTACTTATGAGTGACTCAAGTCCTATAGCTTATTATAAATAAAAAAAATAATTGAAAATTTTGAAAATATTGATATGCTTGGTGAAGAGGGTTACAAAACATCGGAGTAAAGTATGGGGAATTACTTTAAATAAGGTTTATATGGCACTACCCTCTATCCTTTGGACATAGAGCAGCTACAAATGAGAAAAAGTAGGAAGTAAAGCTTATGTACCTTATCAAAAGCAGCTCATTGAAATCACTGTAGAACTGGTGAGAGTCTTCTGTACCAAACAAGAGAGTTTTCCACGAATTGAGAGCTTCTTCTTCAAGATGTTTTTTGGATTTAATGTTTTCTAGATTCGCTTCAGATAACATAACTCTGAGACCTTGTTCTTCTAGCTCATACTCTTTCAGCTTAGCAGTCCACATTTGTTTAAGATTTTCTGAGAGGGAAAAATTAAAATTACAAAGCTGGAAAAAAAATCAGTCTAAAACTATTATTTTTGAGAGCAAGTCCTAAATCATCATGAAACTTTGATGATACCTTGAAATTTTTGAACAGGCACACAACAGCTACTATAATTTACTCTTCATTCATGTTGACTGCCGGACCTTTTTACCTTAGGTAATGATACTCTTCACGATGATGCTGCATATTCTTCATTTATTTTCCCTCAAAATTCTTTGATCTCAGAAACCTCCGTTAGGCATCACGATAGCTTCCCTGCCTTGCAAATTACGTTCGCTGAAGGCACGGTCAAACATTTAACCTCGGCCCAGCCAAACTCTTCGGTATTTAAATGCCCAACTCAAACCTCAAATATCATCCATAAATATGTACCTAGGTATTTTTTGCTGCTGAAACCGAATACGACTTACATTCATTTCTAGCTGGCATGCACAAGTTTTTAGGTAAGTTGTGTTGTCTCTGGAAAATCCTGTTTTCAGTTGTTTTATCAATTTTCAAGCTATCATAAACGTAGGGCATTTTATTTTTCAATGCTATTTCATTAAGAATCCTCATTCCAGACCCTTGCCTCAGATGAAATTTTGTTTCTGTTAACATGCGTCTTTGAATGCCTCAATATGGCTCTCAAAAACCTAAGTGAATTTGCACAAGGAATAACGGTGAGAACAACGTCAATAATGATCACTCAGACATAAGAAAGAAACCTCTCTATTTGGCGGGGGGCAAACTATGAGATGAGGTGGTGGGCTGCTTTTTCACAGTAAAACCAGGAGGAAAAATTTCTGATGAACTTACCAAAAACGATAAGAGAATCTACAGTGTTTGAGTCTTGTTGATTTTGAGTAAGCTGCCGTTTCAAAAGTCTCAGCTTTTCTAAACCTGACAGTAGATCTAGCTGCCGGGTAGCTTCTGTTGTGCGCCGAGTGACTTCTGATAAAACAAACTGTGCCTCTTTCTTCAATTGTTCATCCTAGATTGAAGGGAACCAGCAATTTAAAATACTTATTAAAACTTCTAAATTACAATCGAAGGTTAGACTTGAATGCTAGAAAGGTACATGTATTCGAGGATTTTACAATGAAGTTAAACCTACCAACTGTGGTGGAAGGATTTTTATTCTTCTTCAAATTAAGGGTCCAGCAAACCTTCTTTTTCAGGAGAGATTCAAAAGTTGATATAATACATAAAATTTGACAAGAATTTATTTTTGTCATATTGATTATCCACTTTAGGATGTCTGTAAACTGAATCTTCCTGACTCTCTCTACACATTTTAGCCTTATTCCTTTTCACAATAATTTCTGACCACAAAGCTAGGATGCAGGGGTGTAGAAAATGTCTGACAATGTGGCTACAGAGCATGAAAATGCTGATACTTTGAGAATAAAGAAAAAAGAGAGGTTGGCACTAGAAAAAATTTCAGAAAAAAGGGATTTTAATAATGGGAAGGCTAAAAACTTTCCGCATCCCTGGAAAAATGTGTGCCAGCGCTGCGGAGTGCCTTCAAGTTTAGGAATGAGAGCCTTTTAGTTAAACTGTGAAGGTTTGTTGCAGTGAGCCTGAAGCGTAGTACACTATAAGCTCGGCTCATAGCTACTGGTATTAAAAAATTTCAAAATAAATGAGAGTAAATAAAGAAAAATATTAGAGAACTATTAATAGCAAAATTTGAGTTACCCTTTTAACACTTGCTGCTATTTCCACTTGGGCTATCATCCAGTCATCTATTTGTTGGCTCACTATTTTCCGATCATTTTCTTTTTTCACTCTTTCTTGGTGGTATGCTGCATTCCTCCTCCCAAGGCTTGCTCTTTTTTTCTGTCTTTTTCTCAGCTGAATTTTGACTGAGGCCAGAATTTTTGGGTCTGTTACGTACTCCAGCTTGTCTTTGATAATTTTCTGCACATATTTTAGGAAAACGTTCTTTGACTTTAATGTGTCAGATTGATTGACTAAGAAAACATAGAAAGTCAACTAGGGTGCTGATAAATGCACCGCGTTAAGCAGAGAAGAACCAAGCTACATCAGCTATTGCCAAATTTAATTGGGCAATCTAATGTTTTGCATGAAAACGGTTGTGCAGATTTTTGTGCAAATTTCAGTGAAACTGCCTAGAGCAAAGCAAATTCCTCCACATTTTGAAAGGAATCCGCACAAAGGTTATCTTGTAAAAAATTAAATTGACCAGTTAAATTTGTTAATAGCTGATTTGGCTTGGTTTTTCTGCTAAACGCGGTTCAAATATTGATCAAGCAAAGGGGAGTCTAGAGTGCTTGAGGTCTGAAAAAGGTTCAGACTGCTGACCCTTAGTTATTGTCGAAGGTACATGACGACACTACAATGATGAGCTTGATAACAAGGAAAGACAGGGCATGTCTTGTCAAGTCATTTACTTGGCCAGTTTTAGTCCTCTTGTCTTGGGAGGACAAAGTAATTGCTTTATGAGAAAAGTTAAAGGAGAAATTAGTTATTTATGAAAAGGATGGCAGGAGTGACTTTTGCAGTGTTCATTTCGAAGGTTACAAGCAGTGTCCTCCAAAGAACAGTATAGTAAAATTACTTGGAGTGTTAAAGAGCTGGAATCTTTTGGTTCATTGTTCTCTCTCTATCTCACTTGTCTACAGATTTGCTCAAATCATCCCTGGGCAAAAGCCGATTTTTTTTAAACACTTCACTATGTGTCCGAGTGGTGGGCAATTCGTGTTTTGACTGAACATTTCTCAATTGGCTAAAAAAATCAAGTATTGACCATGACAATAATTGAAGAAAAAGTCAATAGGATCTATCCATGAAATGATCAGATAAATACATAATACAAATTGACATTTGGAAAGATACTTGGAAAAAATTAATGAGTAGTATCAAATTAATACCTTTAAACTTTCCATTTTGTGACAGAATCCATCCCACTCTTCATCGCTTAAAGTTTCTACATTCCCTTTCATGGTCAAAGAGAGATTTTGTAGCTCCCTAGCACTTGACATGCACTTCTCCAATTCAATGCGAAACTCATGAATCTAGAAAAATAAAAACTCAGACAGAATAACACAAAAATATGCACGAACAAATGCACCATTGGACGTTGAGAGTGGAGGAACACTCCCCCCCGTGAAGGACCATTGTAATGGTCATGGATTGGATGATTTTATAGATACTGAGACAATTTTTTCTGTGATTTCTTTCCATGACACAACAGGCAACCTAATTAAAATTTTGTTAAATTTTTGGATGTGTGCCAAAGTTGTATTGTTTCACTTGAGTTAAAAATCTGAAAACCTTCAAAAAAACAAAAAAACTCAACTTACACAGAAATCTTATTACCTAAAATCCTTCCGAGATGTTAAAATTGCTTAAAAGGGGTGAAATTAACTTCTTCTCTCTCAGATTGAGAACTTTGGTCCTGCAGAATGCACTCTACCATAGGTGTTGATGATCTCTCAAATCTTAAGATTTAATCCATCGCCTCTTTTCTCTTCGTATGTTTGCTCTTTATTTTCTATTGCATAGTCTCATTTAACCACCGTGGTTCGTATTATGATTGTCAAGCATCTCTGTAAAATTTTGTACTTTTAAAAGCTTGATGTTAGCCAAAGATTGTTAAAAATAATGCAACGATGATGGTAATAACTGTGTATTTTAAAATTGATGTCGGAATGTTGTGATGACTTGTGCAATCCCCAAAGAGGAGTAAATGTACCAATAGCAAAATAAAATAAATAAAAAAATAAAGCTTGAAAATATGATGTTTCAGTACTGTCTCACCCGAAATGGTTGTCTGGGCTTCACTGCATCCACTGGTTGGCAAAGTGATTTGTTTTCAAGCCATTCTGAGACTGACTTGAACTGTAGACTTGGGACCATGAAACTTTCGAATTGGTTGCATGAGACTGGCTGTGAGATTGGAGGTTGTTCTTGGAAAACGTGCTGTGGCAAACTTTGGGCCCTCGCAACACTCTCATTCACTGAATTGAGGGCATAGTTCTGGGAGGGCATTTGAGGGGGCATAAAGGGACCACCAAGAAATGGCGGACAAAACATTGCAGGAGATCCAAAAGTCTGATCAAAATTTGACCCAGGAACTGTACCAGGAGGTGGTACATTGAAATTACCATGTGGCCGGGCGTTGGGAATGATTTGTCTTCGCAAGTTCACATTTTCCCAGCCACTGAAATTATTTTCATGAGGATTTCTTGAGGCATCATTATTCCAAGATCCATTCGGTCCTTGATGATGGTTTGGATACATTTTCACCAGCTGATGAATTAGCACTAAAAGTTCCGGTAGTGTTAACAACACTCAGTATTTAACTGTGAAAAACTAGAGTCTCAGAGCTCGGGCGAGGTCCTTCTCTCATATGGATTAAAAAATGTTAGTAAATTGTTTTTTTTTTTTAAAAGAATGAGGGTCCAACTTAAATTGAAAACGGTGATAAAAAAGTGTAAAATTAAGGGTTAGAAATGTGGAAACTTAGAGGTGATGCAAAATCAAGAGGATTGTCTATTAAGTTGGTAGTTCTGACTTTGCTTCTTCAAGGATTTGAACAGCTGTTGCATAGTCTTCTTCTTCTGCAAGATCCTTTTCATGGTCAACAAGTGTTTTGAGTTCTTCAAACGCCTTTGCAAGTCTTCGCTGACAGTCTGGCACCATCATTAGGGATTCTCTCAAGACTTCTTCTTGCTTCTTGATGTCATACTCATCTTTGTCTGAAAAATGAGAGGAAGACTGAGCGCACTTCGACTCAATTCAATTTTATTCTTTTCAAATACACATAATTTCATTACAGAGTAGGCTCCATCCCCCACCAAGACAAGAGCACAGCTTGAGTGGTGGGTGTCAAAACAACTAATCATAGCTCAACTACATAATGTAATCTATATCTTTACTTTACTACCAAATGTTTACCTTAATCTATTCTTTTGCCAATCTTGATCTTTACCAAATCTTTATAATCTTGTCTTACTTACCGAACTATTTTAATTTGCAATTGTTACAATGGATAAAGACTGTGACTGAAAATGAAAAAATGGAGTACACTTCCTTGAGAAAAATTATACAGGCAAATTGTTAGTGTCCTTGATGGAAGTCAGCGAATTAACGTCAGTCTATCCATGTTTGTTATACGCTGTCTAGATGTTTGTAAACTAAACTAATCAGCCAATTCAGATTGGCTTAGGAGCTTGCTTGCATGTACTTAGGCTAATTTTGCAGACATGATGGCAAGTCATCCAATAATAGGTCTTTGGGATGTTCTCAAGGGGTAACATGACACTAATGGAGTCAATAGAAGTTGACGTTTGTCTCAACATACGATGTGCGAGCTCTAGATAGAGAAGTAGGGTCAAAATGACATTTAAAATCTTATCGTTTAGGAATAATGTCTGAACAGAAAATTGTGACAGGATTAGTCCAGGCATAGCAAACAATTTTTTGGTGGTGTGGGAGGGGGGGCCAACGGTTTACTGACTCTTCATGGTGGTATAAAGAAATAGAGCGTCTAATAGTATGCTATCATAGCTTATGCTCAGGACAGAGAGAGCACCGGCTGTCTGAGAGACACCTTCGATTCACCAGTAATGCCCGAAAATGCATCTACAAAGGAAGAATTGCATTTAAAAATATCAATCTATTTCCATTGCAAATGAATATTTTCAAGGTAAAATTCCATTCTTCCTTCTTCCAATTTTAAAATTTTCATGTTGTATGCGATTCTCTTAACTAATGCACAGAGGCTAGCACTATCATTTCAAGGCCTAAAACTCGAAGTTTAGCTTTTAGCCAGATTTTTTCATTGACTCAGTGCAATGTACAGAATACTACTTAGTTCCACTGCAACAGGACTTGGGGAGTATTCATCTTATGACAAAATTGAAGAAGACTGGTTGGAGATTTTTAAGGACCAACTTACTTTGACTTTTGAGATTTTGAATGCGATTCCTCTGAGATTCTGCTTCACGCTCGTACATTACTTTTTCTTTCGTCAACCTCTTGACAACACCTGTTTTAATTTTTAAAGCTTTGATTCGAGGATCAGCCATTTTCACTCGAGGTAAAAAGAGTAACAATGGAAAATGGTGATAAATTCAATCTTTTATCAAATTTAGAACATTTTTCACATAGATACAGTAAACTTATTAGAATTATTGATTTCACAACCGCACAATGCTCACAAATTTCCGTTGTCAAGAAGACAGAAACCACGGCGCTTTTTTGAGGTTACGGCCTACGGCCTTTCCTTCAATTTTCAAGCCCATAGTACACATCTCACAAGAAATTTCACACACACTATTGATCATATTCTTCAATCAATCTTCAATATTTCTCTAAATATCAGTGTATTATAAAATTTTAGGACAGCGACCTATATTATTGGAATATCATTATCATATTGGGGCGGGTAGTAATATCAAAAATGTTTGATAGACTGAAACAAAAAGCTTTCTTCATGAGTTCATGACCTTGTGGCTTTTACATCATCTGTTGCAAGTGTTACATGGGCTTCAAGTTCTAATGTTTACTGTTTACAACAACATGTTACAGTCGTTCAGCGTGCACGATTATTTTTATTTGACCCTCCTGTTACAAACTAGAATCGCAGTTTTCCCTCTAAACATGAAGTTCTAAGTTTTTTAAACATGTTAGAAGACATATTTCCAGCTGCCAAACGAATCATTGCTGAAATATCCAGCAGTTTCAAAAGGGATCCAAAGCTGTAAGTGTGAGGTTATGTTTGTGTGTTTGTTTTAATACCATGAAGGACCTCTGTTTTTATATTGAAGAGCAACCTCTTGAACGAATGTGAATGAATTATTAAATACTGCTATGATCGCTTATTATTTGAGCGCGAAGCTTCAAAACTGATAACGAGTTTTAGCTGATNGTTTTTGTGTGACAGACATCGCAGGATTCCTGATCCTTATCCCTCAATATCGTTCGTTTGGGTGCACTCGTTTCGGCTTCCATGGCCAGCCAAGGACGGCTGCCAGTCAGCTGATAATCGAGTTGTCGTAACTCTGGGTATAAAGGGACTCTAGAGTTTGGTATGGTTCTCCTCCGCACAACTTCGGTACAGGTGCAGCTTCTGCCACATGTATGCCAAATGTTATATAAAACTGAGTCTCCACAGAACTTGCAGCCTTCTGGTCAAACTGTAGATACGAAAACTGAATATTAGGATAGAGTGTCCTTCATAATTTGTCCTCTCTTTAGTTGAAATGGAAAATCAATGGATTAGGTGTTGTAAACCTTGAGCTAGGTTACATCCTCTACTCTTTTTTTGAAGACCATTATCTAACGAAAGTGGCAGGGCTGCAAAATTAAAAGTAGCAATCTATCTCATCAATTCTCTTTTTTACCTTTTGTATCATATTTTTCCCAGTCAAAAATCACTTTTCTGACATGTCCCGATGGTTTAGTCCAGCTTCGCAGAATGGGCGCCCTTGTCCAGTCAAAAATGAGCCTAGCTCAAGACTAGTAGGACCGAAAGTTTATTAGTCGCCCACATTCTCATTGAATATTTACAGAAAAACTACTTGTGGCAAGCATTGATAATTTTTTTTTAGCCTTTATAAGTTTTTACTGGCAAGTAATTGTAAATTGTCCCTAGTTCTAGTTAACTTAACTTAATCTGTCTGTTTCCTTTGCAGAAAATCTTTTGAAATAATCCCTCAACCAGAGAGCCAGAACAAATCGCCTGTTCATTCAGTTGAGCACTGTCTTGGACTGGAATCATGGAGTGTTCCACATATTTTTTATTATGCTTATCGGAACATAAACGAAATATCATCAAAAAATTATCGATCAAAATTTAAAGGTTAGTAATTTTTAATTATTTAGCATTGCATTTAGTTGAAACTTCCTCTCTTTATGAATGGTGTTTTGAAAGGCTGAGTTAAGAAAACCAAAGAGAAGTATAATACACCATATTGGAAGTAAAGTAGAGCCATTAAAATGGCTACAACTAAACCAATCTTTTCAGTCATTGCCTTGCAATTTGTCATGGTGGCAGCACAAATTTAATTGGTCAAGCACAGCCCAATGTACATACTCAAAGCTTCAAAAACTATGTTTCATCAGGAGAACCCAAACCCAAATATTTATTTTTCTGGGTCAAGTGTGACAGTTGAGGCAAAAGGTCAGTACTTAGTTAAACTTAATGATATTTCTGTTAATTACTCAAAACACTTGGAAATGTATACATTTTCTAAATATACTTGTGTATGATTGAAAACTATATGAATTGATGACAACTAATCTGACTGAGACCAAATATCTTTCCAAGTGTACCTCTAAGACTTGTAAATCCATCAAAAATGTTTTTAGAATTCCTCCTTGTGTGTTGAGTTAATCCAGAGCTCCGCTTGCTATCCTTAAAGATCAATTACTCTATGGAGAGGATAAATAAGAAATTTTTTAGTGGACAGGAACTGTTAGTTTTTCACAAGAAAATGTCTTATTGATTGATTATGAGATAGAGTATATTAATGATGTGTTCAAAGGGCACCACTGTTCGTTCTTTTCTTGGACTCAAGACAAATTTTGTCATGCACATTGGTTTTCCTTTGCAGATCCTGAGTCCCTCTCCAATTTACTCACCACTGCACTTTTGCTGAATCCAGGAATTGTAACTTTTTGGAATTTGCGGCGACAACTTTTGGAGTTAGGCCACCTTTGTCCATGTGATGAATTGCATTTTTCATTGGTAGTCTTATCATTTAAACCAAAATGTGGTGATGTTTTCAACTATCGAAGGTGGATTCTTTCGAAACTATTCAAAGGTAAGCTTTGTGATACAGTTTTTCCCTCTGTTACACCAATTCTATCAAAGTCTTGCACAGCGCATATATATAATTAGTATGATGATAAACTGACTGCTAATATTACAGGAGATTTTATTTCAACCTAAAGTAAAAGCCGTCAGTAGAGATATTTTTTGAAAGAGCCAACTTAGAAAATCAGGTGTATGTGTCAAACTTGAAAATATGATTCAAACAATGAAGCTCTGACAGGTAAGAAGTGTCAAAAAAAATTATTTGTCTTTGTCTCCCCTGTATGAACCGAGGCTAACAACTTCATTTTTTCCATTTTACAGAAGATCCTGGTAACTCTAGTTTAGTAGAAACTGAATTCCAAATAGTTTTGAGGGCAGCAGAAAATTATGCATGCAATTACAATGCATGGAATCACTGTCTATGGTGCATCCAATTTGTGACCTCTCCAAACGAACTACTAAGTCTTCTAGCTCAACTTGACACGTGGACATCTCAGCATGTTTCAGACCATAGTGTACTTTCTTTTCGACAGTCCGTCATCAAACGATTCAATGCCCTCTATATTTCCATGCAAGTGCCTCCACCCCTCAACGTTCAGTATTTAAATCTTGTTAGTGAAAGTATTAAGTGTTTCCTTGAAAAAGGTAAAATTTCTGACTCTACTGCCGAAGTAATCTCTTCCTCTTCTAGTTCCATTCCTGTCGGTTTAGTTCTTCATGAACTACTATTCAATTCGGAATTGATTCTCCGATATTCTGGACACGAAGCGCTTTGGGCCCATCGGAGATTTATCATGTTCTATCTGTTCAAATTTTTTCTAAATGAGTCACCTTCGTCAGATTCTAATTTTTTTAGAATCTGTAAATTTTCCCAAGTTCATGCAGGTGAATCATCTCCAAAAACTGATGAAAAATTGCTCATTTCTAGTTCAGAAAATATAGAATTTCTCAAGTCAGAAGTATTAAATCGCGAAAGGAAATTCTTGGATCTGAGCACTCCAAATGATAGTCATCACAGTGATAAGTATAAAAAATGGGTGAACAAAATGCTCAAGCTAAATTTTGATGAGATCCAAGAAGGTGTTGGAAGTTTTTAATCAGCACATAGACATCTATTTTCAATTATCAGTAATTTTAAAAGAGTTGACTCCAAAAATATATGAATGTTTTAGTTTTTTTGCATCATATTTACATTTTTGAAGAAAAGCCTTTCAGTGATATGAAGCACTCTGCCCAACTTCATGCTTGATTAATGTTTTAGTTTTTTAAAGTGCTTTAAACAGAAGAAATATCTAGGCGCTTCTTTGCACAGGAAAAGAGAATGAAGTAAAACACTCAAAAGCAGCCATTTTTTTCCTCTTCTTTCTTAGAGGTGAAGACCCCACCGGTAAAAATTGATAGTCTGCCTCAGTCAATGAGTGTACTTTTGTCTGCTGCAGAAGAATAAACTAGGTCTTCTTTTATAACTTTAATCATGGTGACAAATAGGAAAATTAAAATCAGTGTCCTCCTCATTTTTTTTTAAGAGCACCCCAACCGCATAAATTTTTTTTTTTTTTTTTTGGGTAGATCTTTGTTTTGAAATTTTTAACTACACTGTGCCAACTCCATCTAAAAGAATCTTGACATATTATTGTTTTTGTACGAAGCATTTGCTCTTTGTTTTTAAAATCCATATTTTTAAGTATTTATTGACTTGTTTTCTTTTTGTTTGTATTTTTTGTTGTTTTCATTAATTGTGGTATTCCACTTCAATGGTTATTTTTTATTTTATTCTTTCCAAGGTCTTATGTTTGAAATCAATGTGAGTATGCTTTATAATGCTTTTGCAGTTACTGTCTTTTCATTAAAGAATTTTGATTACATCTCTAAAATTTTAAAGACCTCATTAGTTAAGACTCAGTTTTCCCTGAACCCGTATGGATGAGACAGAAGGTATGTTCAAAGTGAAAAGGCATTTACTTCTGTCGAGAAGCAAGAGATCCCTCCTCCCCTCCAAAAGCAATCTTCAGATTTAACTTCCATTTTATTTTAGTTTTTTAATTAATGCTTGAAACTGAACAGTCGTAATGAATGTTTTCTGCTTATTGTATTCTTCTTTAATGCATCTTAATCTCTTTATTATATTTAAAATTTAAATGAAATAGAAAATTCCTAGTGAGTAAGTCTGAAGTACTTCTCTCCAACCTTGAGTCGATAGGCATTAACAGCAATGGAATTCTTAAAATGGAGCCTGATACTGTATGAAAATATTTAACCCATTGACCATCATTATATCAGTCACACTTGCTTCAATAATGTCGTGGACTTACCAAATTATTTTGACCATCTTTAAGAAAAATAATCCTTACCATCAGTCATTTACCATTTTTGCATCAGTAGAAATACTGTTAACCAGCCACATTTGTCTCGGTCAAATTAAATTACGCATTCATTTGACCCAAATTTTTCTAACTGTGACATCAGCTGATGTTCAAAAAGAATAAAACAGACTCCAGAAAAATTGCTGGGCCCCAGAAGAATTCCATCAAAAGTTCTGTAGGAGCTTTCAATAACCTGAGCCTCTTCAAAACTCCCATTGAAATGTATATCGATGGTGAAACTACCAAACCACGTATCTCGTTTGCGGTGTTTAAAAATCTACGCTCACATTTTATTTTTTTTGAAGTAGACCAAATCAATATAATTCCTTGAAATTTTCACAGAATTTTCTCCGCTTGAAGAGGAAAAATCACAGAAATTTTCAAGACTGGACGTTAAGAAGTTTTTCATTTAAAAAATAAAGTATGACAGGAAGTCTGCGACGTCGCAAACCGAGATACGTGGTTTGGTAGTTTCACCGTCGATACGTCATTATACACATGATTCACGGAGGATTTAAGATTAAAGAATTATTCACTTAACAAGTTTCAAAGATACCTGTAGCCTTTTCATCTTGATAGATACTATGTAATGATCAACAGTGAAACTGGAAGGATATCCACTTTAGTTTGCAATTTTGCAGACTTTCTCACTCATATTCTTTTTTGAAGGACAACTGACCAATTTTATTGCAAAAAGTCTTGTTGGATTCATGTTTGTCCTTTCAAAAATTGTTCATGAAAATATTCTGTAATAATCTCCTGAGACATCTTTTAGACAAGAAAACTTTCAAAAACTGAAATTGTATTAAATATAAATGGTTCCATAATTGAAATGACTTCTCCTTGTTTAATTTAGCCCTGTTTCAGCCTTGTTTAGTTGGATCTAATTTCATTTTTAACTTCGTGAGTTTAAATAATACTTTTTCCTAACTTATGCCAAACCAAAATTCTTTATTGGATCCTTTTATAGCAGTTTTTTCCTCAAGTCAGTTGCAAATGATTATTCAATTTTTTTATTTCCATTTTCGGCTCTAGTGATGGAAATGGGTATCATTTTTATTTGGCTTGCATTTCAGTAGCAACCAATTTATTGCCATACCATTGTTATTGTAAATATGTTGAGTGAAAGCTTACTAATGGCCTCTGAGTGATACCTGCATCATCCAGCATTCGTACTTCTCTGTTTTATCTTTATATCAGTAGTAATTGAATGTCAATTTGAACTCGAAAAACATATTATTAAAAATGTTACAACAATGACTCAGATTTACATACACATGCATATACAGTGCAACCTACCATTTGTGTTCTTATCATCATAATTTGTCATGGAAAATTTTCCATCAAATGACTAAGCACGAAATACCAAGAGATTTGGCGATGATTTAATTTTAGCATTACTGATATGATGTCCCTTACAGCCTCCTGAAAATGAGCAGCTTTCAAATTTTAACTTTTGCATGTGTCAATGAGGAGATCAGTGGGAATGTCATGTGACTGCTTGATATTTAAGCTCTGGACAGGAAAAGAAATAAGAAACGAGGGAGGGGGGAGGACTGAATACAGATTTTCTCATAACAGCTATTAGCAAGTATATTTACAGACAGAATAAAACTACGTGAAGACTTGATTGATAAAAAAATTCATCTGTAATTAGATTCTTCAAAATTTTTAACAGTAGAAAAAATAACTAAACATTAACGAACATAAAACTAACTTAAACGGTTTTAGCAACAGAGATGTTGCAGTTTTTATGCCTTTAAATTAATTCTGTTCAACAGGAAAATTTTTAGTTCCTTACACCTTTTCGTTTTTTAAAATACATAAAAAAATCAGTTTTTTGCAGGCACTAAGATGAAACCAACCGACTATTATTCAACTGGTACACCCACCTACATTCTTTGTGTGGTGAATCCTGATGAAATACCTCATCAGATCTCTGAGTCAACTGAATAACTTATTTTAAGAATGGCCTGAATGTCATTAGAATCATGTTACGAAATATAACTTTCACTAGAAAAACCACTCAACAAGGGGTTAAACATGTTCGAAATGTGTGCTCAGAAAAAACTTTAGAGATAGCTTACCTATGTTCATACAGCTGGCACAAATGATCAGTGGCATGGCAGGCTTTGCGATCTATCGATATTTCCCCATTTGAAGCTGTGGTAAATAATCGATTATCAAGGTGCTCGCTGCGAACACCCTGTAGCCTGTTTATCGATACTTTTCCATAGGTTTAAATGGTCGATCAATCGATGTATCGCAAAGCACGCCACGCCACTGCAAATGAAGCAAATACACTCTTCATTGCACTTTTGATTCAGAGACATCATACTGCTGTTTGATCATCAGGAGGTGCCGAAAAATGTGGATTGGAATGGTTCTGGTTCAATTGTTCATGTAGATTGTTCCGATTTTTCTTTGTACGTTATGACACCTTTACTGATTAAGTCAGGGATTTCAACTGCCAGCCATGGTCCGAGCTGAGAAATTATACAAAAAGATGATAAAATTTCACATCCAGCTAATTTTCTTGGCATTATCATATTTAGTAACGAGATACTGTTTTTAACACCCAGCAGATCTTAAGTTCATATTTCTTCGTTTGAAATCCAGTTGAAGAGCTTGAGATAGTGTTACACTAGCTCACTAATTTCTTTGGATTTTCTAATAGAGAATGTCTTTTATGCTGCTCTGTTCTAATATAAAATGATTATGGGAGCTTGAATCAGGCTACTTTTACAGCAGCAGCAAGATTGCACCATCTTGGTAGCATGGTAAGGAAGTTGACTGTAATTTTCGAAATAACAACTTTTGGTTTGCGAAAAAGGTCAAGAGCCAATAAAACCTAATGATCAACAAAATTAATTCACAAACCTTCGAATTCTTGGAAGAGTATCCTTCTGGAGAAATTGTTCAGTTTTGCAGAAAAGAATAACTAAAAAAAAAATAGGATCTTATTGGCTGTAAATATGAACAACCTACGATAAAAGTAGAAAATAAGTTAGACACCATTTACCAGGCATTCATTGCAGACGAATCTACCTACAAACGTAATTTTAAAACCATGCATACTGCCTAAACACTCAAATGTTATGTGCGTTGTTTTTAATATTCCCTTCATCCATAGATCTATTCTGCATTGTGATGTTTGATATAGAAAAATCTTACCCCTAGTGCCATGGCATGTGCAATTCCAAATTTGGGAGCATTTCTTGCCCATAAAGGTTTGAAGTGATCAGAGAGACAAATTTTTCCCCCTCGATACATTTTAGCAGTTTTGCCATCTAGCTCAGGTAAAGCAATTTCTGGTGCTGTACTGGGAAATGTTATCGGGATCTAGAAAAATAGAAAATTAACATGAGAATGACCATGTTTCTGACAATCATAACCAGGATTTTAGACACAAATGATCAAAATATATAAATTCAATGCAGGAATAATGATTCACCTTTGCAGGATTACTTAATATTGTAATAATATTCTATCTATCCTCTTTTTTGATTCTCTGATCTGTTTGTTATATACTTGATAGGATTGGGTCTCATTGGAGTCAGTGCAGCACAGTTCATCAAGATTTTAGTGTTTAGCAAGGAGAAACCAGTGAGTTTTTACGAGTAGAACTATGGGAAGCATATCCCATGAGTTTCTCCTTTCTTCTTTAGAATCCTGACATCATCTCTTTAACTTGATAAGGTAATAAAACTTCAAACCTCATTTTCTCAGTCAAAACTTGATGTAATCTAGTGCACTTCTGATAAACTTAGTCCATTTCATACTTACATCGAATTCAATATCAAATTCATACTTCAGTTGATTGTGGAAAAACCAACATTTCCCAAACCATCGGGTTCCTTCTTTGTTAGACTCAAGGCGAAACCAATCATTGTCGGCAGCCTTGTTATTTTGGACATACTGGAAAACAAAAAAAGAATATGTAAATTGAAGTTGAAAAATTTGGAAAAGAGAGCGAGACCAAGTTCATTTCGGCTATATGCTTCAGCAGTTATACCTTTCACTCTGTAGATCAAAGTACCTTAAGGTTGCAGATATTACACTTGTCAAATGAATATAAGTAAGGATTGCTTGCAGACCCAATGAAAGAGGGATATGTATGGTAATTAGTAATACTTAGTTCAATATGAAAATTAAGGAGAAGAAAAACAAAAGACATTTTTTTGACTCCAGTAAGGAGATCAATATCAAACATACCTAGGTACTGTAATAATTTTTGAGCATTTCTAAGATTGTGAGAGGTTACGCTTAAGTTATTGCGGCACATCATTTTCATGGCATTTACATCGTTTAAAAAATAAAAGAAGATCAGAATCGCAGAAACTACTTGACTGTTAATCAGTGTCATGACACACAAAGTTGAGAAGGGGGTGAGAAAAAGTTTAATAACATATGGAAGGGCTGATATGCATCAGTTTGGCTCATCTTCAAACTCGCATATAGTAGTAAGTAAGAAGTAAAACACCTCGGTAAATATCAAGATCATCTGTATGAGAAAATAGAGGAGATTTAAGATTATCAAAATGTGTTGGCAAACTGGAAAAATGGGAAAGTGAATTGTGAGAACTTTCCGTATCCCTGTGATGTTAGTTTTCAGAAACCTTAAAAAGGCTTCAGTGCATACTATAATGCATGAATACTGTAAGATCAGAGGATTCAAAACTCTGCTATCCGAAGAAACTTTGTGAGAGTGCAGGGCTTAAGTCTGCATTTACAGAAAGAAGCTTGGATTTCAACTTCCACAAATTCTCGCTGTGCGGTAGACTTTAGTTTTCCTGTAATAATTTAGACAAAAAGATAGTGAACGATGACATCGAAAATTATACTGACGAATTCAAAAATGAAAATAGATGATGAAAACGATAATTCAAATTCGCTTGTACCTGAATCAACGCTTGATATTCCTCTTTCAATCTCTGGGGCCACAAATCTTTTTCTCTAGGACCAGCCTTAGTCTTTAGTAAAGGGATTGCACTTAAAGTTTTCTTGGCCTTATCATCCATTGTGAATTGGGGAAAATTTTCTAAATTTCACGAGTCAACTGGTTGAATTCTCCTATTTAGTACATGTTGATGTTGAATTAATTTAATTTTTATAAAAGAGAACCTTCTAAACTTCCGTCTTCACAACTCTGCTGACGTATATAACCTCAAACCATGGATGTAAACAAACACTTGCTGATTTTTTGTAGTTTTCAAAACTGCCACCAGACTTCACTAGCTTTGCAAAAAAGCGCGGGAATTTTCAACTTAGCCCGCGTAATCTAAAAATGCGCCCCGTACTCAATCGCAATCGTTAAGCGGGCGAAAGAGGAAAAACCATCTTCAGTTCATTCCGAAAAATTTGTGTTGAGGTGCTATCCTCTAACTCAAAACACAGGAAAGAAAATTAGCTTTCGTCTCTGAAAGTGTCTAACATTTAAACGGTGATTTCCGGAAAAATCTTAAAATATTTAGGATGAATAAGTTTCATTCCGTCAAGCCTAGTTTTAGCCGTTAACATAGTGGTGTAGGTTGAAAAATTAAAATAAAATAAAATATCAATGGATTAATACTCATTGAAATATCGCGGGTAACAGACGCGGGTCAAAACCATGTATCCCCATTTTTGTCGATTTTTAGTTGGCTACCAGTACGTACATTTTAACTGCTTTTAAGCGACCGAAAAAAGTCGGAAAGTTGCTTAAAAAAGAAAAAAAAATTTGACAAGTTTCTCCCGCTAAGCTCCGAAAACACGTATCTCCGAACCTTGTCATCGCACTGTGGGCCAGAGGTGCCGGTTGCGCGAGAATAATTGATATCTCGGCTAAATNCGCGAAACCGCTGAACCGTGATAAGGCCTTACACGGTTGCAGTTCAGGACGCGCTACTATATATTATCCGTGCAGTGTGAGAGGTACCCAAGTTCCCCCCTCCAATACATCGCTGCTGGGCGATTATTCGATGAAATTTTGATGAATTCTCATCCCTTAGAGAGTCACTTTAACGAATTCCTCATCATCAATACAATACTGGACACTCATAAAAACGGTATTTTTCGCGTAAAACGGGCCTCCCTGGCCCACTGTGCATCGGTCCCTTCTTTTTGCGGGTTATGCAACTATTCGTGCGTCTATGAGGGTTCTATTAGTATAGAGCTAGGCTGTTTACTCATCGGCTGTTTTTTGTTCATTGTTGTTGACGCAACTTGGGTATTTTATTTACTCAGGGCCGGATTTACCTACTTGCCGCCCATGGGCCGCCTGTATTTTGCCGCCCCCTCATTCGTTTTGAAACATCATTTCAAAACGAATTCAATGATTCAATTAGAATTCAATGATTCTCATTGCTAATGATTAATATATATATTATTCTACCTCTCCTTCTCTATTGCTAATGATTAATATATATATTATTCTACCTCTCCTTCTCTATTGCTATAGATTAATATATATCTTCTCTTCATCTATTAATTTAATATATTTAAGTGCTGTTTCATGTCAGCACTTAAATATAAATGCATGTATTAGTTCACTATGCTGCCGTGTAAGGAGAACGCCGTATGAGCCTTCAGATGTTGCCAGATTTTGTTCAATAAAAGTCAAATTTACCGAGAAAACTGTGAATATTTTAAAACAAATTTATCAGAAAATGTTGTTTGCTATTTAATCTAAAATATTTGAACATTTCAAGGAAAACTATGCAAAAATTTCCTCTTAAATACATGTTTTATTCGAGGAAATTTGGCAACTCTAGAATGTTCATACGGTGTTTTTCCATAGCACGCAGTATGCCTCTACCAGCTAAAACTTATCCAGGCAACTATGATCGAGAGGGCCAGAGCGGACGAGGCTCAAAGATTACATACATGCTGAAGTGAAGGCGCATCATACCTTGTAATTCCAAAAACACGAAATCGGTTAATTTATCCTGCTTTATCCTCCGTTTGATCGTAATTTGTGGTTTAAAATATGAGAATAAACAAATTTTAATCGCTGATTCCAAGAGCACGTATCTCCGTTCCGGGTGTGAGTCGTTAGTTCCAAAAACACTTATTTCCGTATATTTCCACTTTATTTCGTAACTGCTGACACTATTTTGCAAAAAACGATAAAGGACTCGAAAAGTATCATATTCTCGATATTTTCACCAAGTTTTACGATTGTATTGTCAACCAGAGGGAGTTCGGAAGTTTTTTCACCCTCCTGGAAATTCGTATTTTCGGAGACAGATATTTTTGGTCTGTCACCCGCGAGAATGTTCTACAAGCTTTTGGCTCTGCCGCACAAAACTCTAAATTAACCTACGTTGATTGATTATTCTGACTGAATTTTTTTCTAACTCTTCAGCGAAAAAAACACAATTGTTTGTTGAAATGCGCGCTCGAACTTTTCCTGAAGTGACCATGAAACGACTTTGCAGCATTTGTCGTTATTACATTCAAGAAAGTAAAGGGCGCAGCCTACATTTTAGGTCAGCAACGTTGTTCCATATTTAACAGATCAAAGCATCATTCGGAAAATTTAAAATGTCGGATAAAAATCAGTAGTATAGTTTACTTCATCGTCGCACAGAAGGCAAAGCTGCAATCAAGTTTCGATGCAAAAGAAACAAGCAAAGCGCCATTGGTTAGTGTCGAACGCGACGAAAACTATACAAGTATCATTTTAACTCCTGGATGCAACTATTCGGGCTCCATGGATGTCTGTGCTGCATACGCACGAAAGTGAAGGCGTTTTGACTGTCCAGGCACTTCTCAGTTCGCCCGCGGCGCACAGTGCGGCATCCTTATGGACGATGCGGAAAAAATCGGTAAAGACACTTAACTTTAAATAATAAAGATAGTGGCACCGATATAGGAATACCCTTTGGCACTATCAGAGTAAGACACTCGAGGAATAAGAAAATGTTATATCTCAGAATGTTTTGCTTATATTTCGAGAAAAATTCATTTGAGGTTGGCAAACTGGAATTAGCCCTATGTTAACAATGTGAAAGCAACGTGCAACACCCAAACTTTAACTTCAAATATCCCTTATAGTCGCAAAAAGTCGCAAGATCTTTTTCGTAGAATCTAAGTTGGATATCTGAGGATTAAGAAAATGTCAACCACCCGGAGAATTTTGCGTTTCAAGCGAGAAATCATCATTTGAAGTTGAAGTCTTTTTCCCGTGTATTTCTTATGGACTAGTGATTCTCGACCCATTTCCCGCCCACTTCCTACCCAAATTTGAAGTAGTTTTGAGCGAAAAATTTGAAAATGAACCATCATTGTGAGTCAAAAATATCTATAAGATGACAAACTCAAAAAAAAAAAAATTCAGATGTCGAGTTGTGAATTTTTTATTTTTGTCCACAGAGGGCCGCACTGTGCGGCGCGGCGGGCTTTAACTGAAAGGATCCAAAATGACAGTGCGCTTTCAATTCTTCATTTCCATTACATATCTCCTAAGCATGATTGGTCTCATACAGCCGAGGGCCGTGGGATGTGAGAATCTTTTGTGATTCAGTTTTGATATCGCGATAGGCTGCAGAGAATGATTTGTACAGTATATTTTCATGCCTGAGAGATGTCTTTAAAGTATAAATGAGGAATTGAAGGTACTCTGTCATTTTAGATCCTTGCAGTATAGCCCGCGGCATAATGAAACGAGCTTTTCCGAATGGTTGGAAATGTTTTTGACTGAAACTGGAAATTTTGATGATAATTATTTTTTTAACATTATAAATTGTAGGTATGGGGTGACTCTTTAAGGAAATTTTACGAAAATAAATTGCCCCCCCCCCCCCCCCCCCAGGACCTCCACACTCCGCGTTCACATTCAAACAAAACTCATGAGTTTTTACTTTTTCTACGTTTTGTTCGACTCGCGATCGCGCCTCTGGCGAGGCAGTTAGTGTCTGGGGTCAAAACGCCTTCCATTGCGTGCATATGCAACACGGATATCCATGGAGCCCGAATAGTTGCATCCTTGCAGGAGTCGCAATGAAATTCGTTCATTACCGGTTGCATGCAACACTAACTTTGCTTCGATTGTTTCTCTTACACCTTAACTTGATTCCAGCGGTACCTATTGCGCCGATGAAGTAAACCAGTACTGATTTTTATTGCGGCATTGTCATTTCTTCGAGAAATGCATTATTTAAATGGATTGCATTTTGCAAAAAGGAATCAAGAGAACAAACACAAAAGACGACTCGTTAAAGTAGCTTAAAGGACACTATAAAAGACATGCTCAGATACCTAATATTTCTGCGAATATGAGGGCCGGCAACGTTGTAATACATTTGGATTCGGACCCTCCCCAAAACGAGTGTTCCGACCCGTTTCATAAAAAATTATCGGAAAATCGATGATCATTACTAATTTATTGCTTAGTATTACTCTTTTCTTCACCCTTTGTTACATGCATGAGTCAGTTATCGATTTCAGAGAAAAAATCTTTATTGTACAGAGTTTTCAGAATTATAGGAACAGATGAAGTCCCAAATTATATTTTTTGGGGGGAAAGTTTGGAGATCAGACCTCTAATCCTTTCCAAAACCCATGCGTTGCTTTGGCGCAATTAAATGCCACCGAGGATCAAAGCATAAAAAAAAAAAAAAAAAAAAAAAAAAAAAAAAAAAAAAAAAAAAAAGTTGTTGCTTTCATGAAACAAAGGGTTAAAACATTGGAGTAGGCATTGCGCAGTAGACAAGACTTTCTCGCTCTCTTAAGTCCAAAAATTTTAAATATAATGAGTTTAGAATGTTTTTAGCGCGTTCAAACTGCGGAACATCTTTCTTTCAATTTATGACCTCGGTATACTATTGCTTTGCCTTCCGTAGTTCCAGGCGCCACACTACAACATGCCGTGCTAAGGAAGAACGCCGTAAAAGCCTTTAAACGATGTCAGATTTTCGTCAATGAAACGACGATTTACTAATAAAAATTGTGAATATTTTTCCTCAATTTTTTCAGACAGTTTTGTTCGCAATTTTATCTAAAACGTCTGAAAATGTCAATGAACAATACGCATAATTTTCTTTAAAAATACACGTTTTATCCGGGGCAATTTGACAACTCTCGAATGTTCATACGGCGTTCTTCCTTAGCACGGCAGACACTCCTCCCCCTCTCAGCAATCAGCATATCGATCACCACAGTTGCCTACGGCCTTAGTGATTGTCA